AGTGTATAGTGTAGTGTATAGCAGTGTATAGTGTAGTGGTATAGTGTAGTGTATAGTGTAGTAATGTATAGTGTAGTGTACGGTGTAGTGTATAGTGTAGTAGTGTATAGTGTAGTGTATAGTGTAGTGAATAGTGTAGTGTAGTAGTGTATAGTGTAGTAGTGTATAGTGTATAGTAGTGTATAGTCGTGCATAGTGTAGTGTATAGTGTAGTAGTGTATAGTGCAGTCGTGTATAGTAGTGTATAGTAGTGTATAGTGTAGTGTATAGTGTAGTAGTGTAAAGTATAGAAGTGTATAGTGTAGTGTATAGTGTAGTAGTGTATAGTGCAGTTGTGTATAGTAGTGTATAGTGTAGTGTATAGTGTAGTAGTGTTTAGTGCAGTCGTGTATAGTAGTGTATAGTAGTGTATAGTGTAGTGTATAGTGTAGTAGTGTAAAGTATAGAAGTGTATAGTGTATAGTGTAGTAGTGTATAGTGCAGTTGATTAGGAAATTGCGATTCGATTTAACGTTAAGTTGAATACGATGCTGGCACGATCCATGTCGTGGTTCGATTTTCGTGGATCCATCCAGAAATTAGAATCAGAATTTTGATTTAGACTGCAGGAGGAGTCCAGTCGGGGTCACGGGGTCAGCGAGTTACTGCGTCACTGTAGTGTAGTGTATAGTGTAGTGTATAGTGTAGTGTATAGTAGTGTGTAGTGTAGTGTATAGTGTAGTAGTGTATAGTGCAGTAGTGTATAGTGTAGTAGTGTATAGTGTAGTAGTGTATAGTGTAGTAGTGTATAGTGTAGTGTATAGTGTTGTGTATAGTGTAGTAGTATATAGTGTAGTGTATAGTGTAGTGTATTGTATAGTGTAGTGTATAGTAGTGTATAGTGTAGTGTATAGCAGTGTATAGTGTAGTGATATAGTGTAGTGTATAGTGTAGTAATGTATAGTGTAGTGTACGGTGTAGTGTATAGTGTAGTGTATAGTGTAGTGTCTAGTGTAGTAGTGTATAGTGTAGTGTATAGTAGTGTATAGTAGCGTAGTGTATAGTGTAGTGTATAGTAGTGTAGTGTATAGTAGTGTAGTGTATAGTAGTGTATAGTGTAGTGTATAGTGTAGTGTAGTGTGTAGTCTATAGTGAAGTGTATAGTGTAGTGTATAATGTATAGTGTAGTGTATTGTAGTGTACAGTGTAGTGTATAGTGTAGTGTATAGTAGTGTACAGTGGTGTGTAGTGTATAGTGTAGTCTATAGTGCAGTGTATAGTGTAGTGTATAGTGAAGTGTATATTCTAGTGTATAGTAGTGTAGTGCATAGTGTAGTAGTGTATAGTGTAGTGTATAGTGTAGTGTATAGTGTAGTGTATAGTAGTGTAGTATTAGATTTTAAGCTTTCGTGACTGCAAGGATTCATACTCTTTGGTTTTATTCGGTAAAGTCACGTAGATTAAATAACACAAAATAAAAGAAAACAATTAAATCACGACGTTTCGGAGGCAACACCAGCTTCCGTCTTCAGGTGGAATAGTCACAGAAGAATATCTGTGTCAAGTACACAGCTCTGAGACGATCGGGTTTATATCTGGGTTGGGGGGGGGAGGAACCAGAAAGGAAAGTGGGTGGGTGGGAGGGCTGAGTTCAGCCGTTTTTTGAAAACGATGATGGCGATGATGGTGGAAGTGATGACTATGGTGACTATGATGGTGGTGGTGTTGCTGGTGGTAATGATGACAGTGATGATGATGATGGGGTGAAGATGGTGGTGATGGTGTTGGTGGTGTTGATGGTAGTGATGATGATGGGGTGATGATGACAGTGGTGATGATGGGGTGATGATGGTGATGATGGTGAATCGCAGGGATGAGGAGGTGTGGTGACGCAAGCGCGCACTGCAGGCGAAGGAGCGGCCACACGAACCTGCGATTTGTGCTGCACCGGCGACATCGCTCACGCACGCCAACCTGAACCTCACCCTCCCCCCTCACCCTACCCCTCCATGCTCACCTGTCACCTTCCCCTCCATTCTTCCCTCACCATCACCTTATCTCACACTCTGTTCCACCTTCCCCTCACCCTCACTTCACCCTCTCCTCACCATCCACCCTCTGCTCCGTTTATTGAGTTTCTGTCTCAGGTTTTTATCTCTCATCCTCAGGATGCACGACTCAGATCCACGATCTTCAATGGTTCATTACAATACCCCACCCACATCGCAGGGTAGAGAGGCCGCGAGAATCTCTGCCGAACTTCGTGGATGACCTCCATGGAGTCGGCCCGGTAAAACGCCAGGAGCCCCCCCTCCCAGTGCAGGTGAAGCCCGATTCTGCGGGGGGACGGGGCCCCCATCACCGACAGTGCAGTCTTCACTCCACCATGAACCACTGAGAAGTTGTGGTAATATTTCTCTATACACCAGGATGCGTCGCTCCCTCCCAGCCGCTGTGCAACACGATCCCCTTTCCGTGGGATCGTCCCGTACGCGACTCCAACCCGACACAACCGCGCGTCCCCCACGTCCACCTCCCAGTATTGGTGGCCCGACGAGAAGCTCTCACAGCACAGGGCTTGTGGAAAGCACTCAAACCGGTGTGGGTGATCGGGTCGACCCTGGGAGGCACGGGTCAGCGTCATCGTCCTGAGATCCGAGGAGATCTGGAGTTCGTTAAGAGCTGAGTTTGTGTCCAGAGTTGGTGAGCGTCCGTCTGTGACAACAGCGATGACAACATCACTACAGAACACCGTCATCATCACCATCCACCATCACCACCATCACCACCATCAACATTACCATCACCAACCATCATCTTCACCATCAACATTACCATCACCAACCATCACCATCACCAACCATCCTCGCCATCAATATCATTAATGACAACAACATAAACATCACCATCACCACCATCATCAACACTGAATATCAACATCACTACCGCAATAAGCAACATCACAACCATCATCACCACCACTAGCACAATCCACCATCACTACCACCCCCCCCCGACCATCACCACTATTTCCATCAACACTATCCCCATTACCACCATCTTCATCACTATCACCAACATCACCAACACGATCAGCATCATAACCATCACAACGACCATCAACACCATCATCACCACCATCACTACCATGACCACCTTAACCAATATCATCATCACTACTACCATCAGCGCCATCAGCAAAACCATTACCAGCTATATTATCACCAATATCACCATCGCTGCCATCACCACGACCATCGCTGCCATCACCACGACCAACACTGTCACCACGACCAACACCATCACCAATCCCATCACCATTCCCATCACTCACATCACTAACATCAACATCATTACCACCATCCTCATCACGACCACTATCATCATCATTATGATCATTACCAGCAACAGGAACTCATTTGAGGTTGAAACTACCTAGCAGAGGCCCAGGACTGGATCAGATATCACTTGCCACTGGTGATAGCCATGGCGGGTAATTATAATCAAACACAGGTAACTGCGTTCGTAGTGCAGTGTGCTATAGACTATGCCACCGCTCCCCCCATGCACAAATGCACAGACATTCACAGGCACACACTCCAGCTCAACATCACAATTACCTCTGACTCGTAATGATGATTATTTACACAAGAACACCACACTGAGTCTCGTGGCTCTGTTCAGTAGGGTCCTGGAATGGGATGTGAACAAAGACTAAGATCCCGTGTGTAGCCTTCACAGACGATTGGGACAAGTGCTGTCCGTGAGAGTCTATGTAGGCTGGCATGGCACACGAGGTGGGTGGCCAGTACTACGCCCGACCACCTTTGTCTCCCTAGTGGTGATTTTGTTTACACACCACATCAGGTCTCAGGATGTAAACAAAGACATCCCCCGTGTTGCCTTTACAGACTGTTGGGGCAAATCAGCACCGTTGAAGGCTGGCACGGCAAACGAGGGGGTGGGTGGCCAGCACTATGCCTGGTCGCATTTGTCTCTCTAGTGATGATGTTTATAAAACACCAGGTACACACACGGGGATCATTTATTGTCAAGATAGTCCCATCACCCATGATTCACGCTGAATAACTCACACAGGAGTTTGACTCCCCTTGTCTCCAGGACTTTAAGTGAGGCAATGTCCTCTTGGTTGGGAGATGAGGGTGGAGCTGCTGTAACCCTCCCTGCCCTGTGAAAGCAGAACAAACATTTTTCGATTTAAAGCTTTCGTGATTGCAAGGATTCATCTTCATTGGTTCTTTCGGTAAAGTCACGTAGAATGATAATAAAATAATGAATTGATAAAATAAAATAACACAGTAATATTCTCACGACGTTTCGGCTACAACACAATCGGCCTTCATCAGGTGAAGGGGACGAGACTGGAGGACAGCGCTGGAGTGAGAAAGCCACGCTGAGATCACGACCTTTAAGCTGTGTGAGAAGAAGGCGCTTTGTTACTTCTCACACAGCTTAAAGGTCGTGATCTCAGCGTGGCTTTCTCACTCCAGCGCTGTCCTCCAGACAGTCTCGTCCCCTTCACCTGATGAAGGCCACTTGTGTTGTGGCCGAAACGTTGTGAGAATATTATTGTGTTATTTTATTTTATCAATTTATTATTTTATTCTCATTCTACGTGACTTTACCGACAGAACAAACATGGCTACTGTCTCACACAGAGCATCGTCACTCACAGGATCATCACAGCTCCATCACGCAGGCACTCATCAAACAAAGCATCATCACTCATCTCACAATTACAGCATCACCCCGCAGAATTACTATTACCACACACAGCATAACCACACACAGTATCAACACAGCATCATTACACAGCATCACCACACAAAGCATCACAACACACCATAACTACTCAACACACAACATCATCACCACACAGCATCACCACACACACCATCACCACACACAGCATCACAACACACAGCATCATAACAACACAGCATTACTATCACCACACATAGCATCATCACGTACAGCACCATCACACATATCACCCTAACACACAGCATCACCACACACATGTTCACCACACACAGCATCCCCACACAGCCAATGTCTCACTGCCCGCACCCGACACTCAGTCCCATGTTGTCGTGTGTCGAGTCGTGAGTGAAAGTCGTCTTTTACCTGCACGTCTCCTCCAGGTGCCCCTGTGGGAGAGAGAGATACGTTACTGTGACTATACCTCCAATCCCTTGTGATGAGTGGAGTTCCCACTGCAACACCGTGGGTGGAATTATAAACCCCAAAGTCTCGGCTTATGACCCCATGATCACCAACACTGATTTACGAGGCAAATATTTCAGAGTGAGACCGGTTGATAGTCAACTATAAACTACTATTTGTGTTTTTCCACGTAAGGCCCACAAAGCGATGTAGCTCTTTTTCAGAAGCGACCTGGCCACAACTGATAGCTGAACGAAGTGGTTCATCACTTGGAAATTTATAGCAGCCCAATACTCTAGACGCACGTTTCCAAATGTGAAGGCAAATTTTTGAGGACTTGGAGAAAAATCCATGTGACCATGGAAAGAGACACGAAAACTCCAAATGTATATGGACGTCAGGGTTGGGATCAAATCCCCGACCTTCGGTATACCAGGCGAGGTAGTTAACATCTCGCAGCCCCCATGAGGACCAACACTGATTTGCAGGGCAAATATTTCAGAGTGAGACCGGTTGATATTAATCAGTGTTGAGATTAATTTCTGTCAATGCACACGTGGCAGGTCTTACAGAAGTGGTGGTGGATTCACAATGATATCATTAATACGCGTATGAGAAATCGTATTTATTTAAGTTTCCGTAATATGAACAATGAAGGTAGCGCATCCAAGAGGAGGTACACAAAGTAGGAAGCACAGATGAAATCAGCTCGTGTGCAGGCGCTGGTGGATTGTTGCATCGCGGCATCATGAGATGTGGCAATGGCCTGGGGAGGTCTTCATCCATTAGTGGATAGATCATGGCTGATGATAATCATGAATACCGTGTACATTGTTGTTGCTGTTGTTGTAGGGTTTATTAAAAAAGTGCAATTCCAATAACATTTAGATTATAATCACAATGAAACCAACTTAATGGAAATCTGTTAAAGGACGAGAGAGATAATTCATTTCACTGAGAAAATATGAGCTGGCCTTCAAAATGGCAGCCACTGGAGCTGCAATGCGAGTCCGTGAGTGGAGCTGTGTTCTCAAGCCCAGTGGAAGCGAACTCTCATTCAGGAGCCTCCCTCTGCTGCTGGTGGTGAGAGGGCTCTGTGCCAATAGAGACACTGGAGACTCATCGCTCACCTGCAGAAACGCGAGCGAGTCCCTCTCCTGCGCTAGAGCCTGCAAGCGAGTGGCTGCTGCCTGGAGCTCGCTGATCTCGCGCTGGTAGCGAGCGATCTTCTTCTCGATCTGGGACAGCAGCTCGCGCCCTTTCTGCTCCGCTTGCTCTAAAGCCGCCTTCTCCTCCACATCCAACGCTGCTCTCGCGTGGGCGAATCTGACCGAGATTGAGGCCTTTTCATCTGTCATGGATCCCTGCAAAGAGAAATAAATGCCACCTTTGTTCATTGAATGTCTGGTCTATTGTGAAATGACATTCAGGTCGGTGTGACCCGAGTGCAACTGTGGACTGTGAAGGTTTCCAAACAGTGATACGAGTCTGCCGCACTGAGGCCTCCTGCTTTCTCTGCCTCTGATAACGCCACTGTGCATTTTCACTACAACACGATTCGCCATAACTGGCGGGGGCTGTGAGGCAATGAAATCATCAAATACCATCATGAGTACATTTAGCATCCATGCCATTCTCATTGCTCAAGGCTATCAGGAGGATGCTTAGTTTTCCTTCGCATGAAGCGAAGGGAAATCTGTAATTCGCCTTCAACAATGTGAGCCTTAATGAATTAAGAATTGAAGCTTTCGTTACTGCAGGAATATCATACTCTTTGGTTCTTTTGGTAAAGTCACGTAGGTAGAAATAAAATAAAAATAAAACAATCACGACGTTTCGACTGCAACACACGCAGCCGTTATCAGGTGATAATCACACAGAGGGACACCACGCAAAGAGACATACACACATGGAGATACAGGGACACAGAGACAAGCCGTGTGTGCGAGAGAGCGAAACACGTACACTGAGGGGGGGGGGGGACATATCGGCTGTAGAGAAGGGGGGAAGGGGGCAGGGAAAAGTCATAGACATGTACATCGAGGAAGAGGATGTTGGTAAAGCACACCGAGAACGACAAACTGAAAGGAGGCAAAGACAACAAGAAAATGGGAGATGTGAACCTAGCCAAACTTAGAAATATAATGCGATGCAACCCAGAGTCGGCCAACAACAAAGTTAAACACTAAAACTGGTTTATCACATATTTCAAAAGATTGCAAAAATTGCATCCATCTTCTAGGTTGAACATGCCAATGAACATAGAGGACAAGGACTCGTGAATCACACAGCGAGGGAACACACAGAGGGACACCACATGAGACATAGGACACACAGAGGCAAGCTGTGTGTCTGAGAGAGCGAACACGTATACTGAGGGGGGGGGGGGGGGGTAACTTATATAGGCTGTAGAGATGGAGGAAAGAGAAGGGGGCTGGGAAAAGTAATAGACATAAACATACCAATGTACATAGAGGAGGACATTGGCAAGACCCACCGAGAACGACAAACTGCAAGGAGGACCAATGTACATAGAGGACAAGGACTCGTGAATAGACATGCAAGGAAAACCTCTCCGTAGAGGTGGATTAATCTAGAATTGAAGCTTTCGTGACTGCAGGAATATCGTACTCTTTGGTTATTTTGGTAAAGTCACGTAGATAGAAATAAAATAAAACAAATCACAACACAAGCAGCCGTCATCAGGTGAGAATCACACAGAGGGACACCACACAAAGAGGCACAAAGAGACATACACACAACTTAGAAGATGGATGGAATTTATTTTTAGCAATTTGTTGAAATATGTCATCAACCAGTTTTAGTGTTTAACTGTGGTGTTGACCGACTCTGGGTTGCATCGCATTATATTTCTAAGTTTGGCTAGGTTCGCATCTCCTATCTTCTTGCTGTCTTTACCTCCTTGCAGTTTGTCGTTCTCGGTGTCCTTTACCAACGTCCTCTTCCTCTATGTACATGTTTATGCCTTTTCCCTGCCCCCTTCTCTACAGCCTATATAAGTTCCCGCTCTCAGTGTACGTGTTTCGCTCTCTCGCACACACGGCTGGTCTCTGTGTGTCCCTGTATCTCCATGTGTGTATGTCTCTGTGTGTGGCTTCCTTCTGTGTGTTCCCTCTCTGTGTGATTCTCACCAGATCACGGCTGCTTGTGTTGCAGTCGAAACATCGTGATTTGTTTTATTTCTATTTTATTTCTACCTACGTGACTTTACCGAAAGAACCAAAGAGTATCATTGGGAATTTAGGCTAATTCTTCTTTAAATGAATGTTTTGCATGTTAGTGAAAACCACGTAAGTATGGATGAAGAGAGAGGATCATGAAACCACTTGCTATACTGCCACCTGGCCACCCTAAAGCCTGATTGGTTTCAGTAAGATGGTGTACAACAGTCTGTGTGGGATCCACCAACTCTGCCACTAGAGTATTGGATAAGAGGTACGTTGTATGGAGATATGGGAATGTGGAATTTCCACCACTGCTTCAGTTTCTCAGTGGAGATGAGAACCACCTCTTTGCGGGTCCTGATTATTGAGGCGTATTGACCGTTGTTTCTTTAGTCCCACAATGTGTTTAGAGTCAATGGAAGTCCACGTGAATGAATGGAGTTGTTCTCCATCACAAACCCTACTCAGAGTGGAGTCACGGGGTCACAGAGTCACGGTACCTGCACGTCCCTGCGAGCGGCCTCCATCTGCCTCACGGACTCCTCCGCCTTCCTCCTCTTCTTCTCCACTGCCCGCGTCTCCTCTCCCACTTGTTTCTGTGAGAGACGTCACCAGGGGAGACTCCACTCACTCTCTGAGCATCCCCTCCCAACCCCGCTCCACGTGAACCCCTCCACAGTGACGGCGGCAGTAGCCCCGGTGCAGCGATGGAGGCTGGGGGAGCAAAGGCTGCAGAGAACTGATTTCACGAGGAGCTCAGACGTGTGGAGGGCTTCCTAAGTAGTGGGTGGAGCTACCTAAGCAGTGGACAGAGCTTCCTAAGTAGTGGGTGGGGCTACCTGAGTCGTTGGTGGGTATACCTGAGCAGTGGGCGGAGCTACCTAAGTAGGTGTGGCTACCTGAGTAGTGGGTGGAGCTACCTAGGCAGTGGGCCGGGCTACCTAAGTAGTGGGTGGAGCTACCTGATTAGTGGGTGGAGCTGCCTCAGCAGTGGGCAGAGCTACCTGCATAGTGGATTGGGCTAACGGTGTAGTGGGTGGGGCTACCCGAGCAGTGGGCAGGGCTACTGGAGAAGTGGGTGAGGCTACCTGAGTAATGAATGGGGTTATCAGAAAGGTAGGCGGGGCTACCCGAGTGGTGGGTGGGGCTACATGAGTAGTGGGCGGGGCTATCCGAGTCGTGGGCGAGGCTATCTGAGTAGTGGGTGGACAAAGCACCAGAATGGTGAGATGTTATCTGCCTTGCCTGCGAAACAGGAGGTCGTGCATTCGCACTCGACCCTGATGCCTGTGTAGTGTAGCAGAACGACACTACTGTATTGGCTCGGTATGGGGGCTGTAGGCAGGTGTCACGGGAGTCGTGTCGGGCCGTGACACTCTGCGTGAACCCAACAGGACACGTGACCAGATAAAGGGGGACTAGGGGCCCCAGGGGAGTCACGTGATTGGGCTTCGGGCCTTCCCGAAGGATCGGGAAGGGGGGCATGGCCTGGGGCGGAGCCGGCCATGCCGGAGTGGTTATAAGCGGGGTGTAGACGGAGAGCTGGGCTGGTCTGCTGTGCTGCTGGGTCATCTCTGGGATGAAGCTCTCGGCTAGTGGACCAGGCTGCATTTTGATCTGTCCTGGTCCAGTAATGTAATATCTCCGTGTTTTAGTTAAGTTAGGAAAGGTGGCTACCACCTTAAGTCGTTATGTTAAGTGTCAATTGTTATGTTACCTCATAAATAGTGTTGCCTCCAAAGTTCCAGTGTGCGCCTGAATTTAACCCACTACACCAGTATACAGTCAACCCTTCTACC